AGGAGGAAAGGGATGATGAACAGTGGGGGGGTTGGGGGACTGGGAGGGGGATAACAACTGGACTGTAAAATACAGGTTAAAGAATAGAAGAAAAAAAATCTTAGGTTTCAACCTGGCTGTGGAGGACAGGACTGATCTTAGATATGGAAAATATTACCCCAAAGGTCAACTTAGCCCAGAGGTAGACCCTCAAACCTATTGAATCATACACTGAGGACCACAATGTCCCCTTTTAACAACAGACTGAAATGTATATTTAACTTTAGTGTGATGTAAGATTTAAATAAATTACTGTTCTCCATTGAATAGGCTAGGGTCTTCATAGTTTGGAACATGAGGAACAATTTTGATGTTGGAAACGTATGAATGATTTCAACATATTCAGAGGATTCTATTGCTAAATGGATACCTGCTGGTCAATATAGAAAACTCGAAAATCAAGAAAATCACTTCCGCATTTACATATTTAAATAGTGATATTCTCCCAGGATGTGTGAACTTATAAACAGCAGGGCCTAATTTTATTGTTCCCCCTCTTGGTGGCTTGATATCACCATCTATTGTGTTGTTTCTCTTTGCTAAGTGACATTTTTAAAACCTGTGTTTTAAAATGGATTTGAAGGTTTAATTAACGTACTGTTTACTTCTGTTTCCTTTAATAAAGACGTGTGTCATCTGGAACTTCAAGTTAATGTAAATTCCATTTTCAAGTATTCCCTTGCCTAATGTTAATTAGCAGGTCTTCTGACTGTCGTAATTGTTTCCTGTCTACTCACACACTTCTTGTAAGGTTTTATGCTTCAGGACATTCAAGCCACTGGACATGTCTCACCACTTCCCAAAACTCAAAACACTTAAGAGTCTCTGTTGGGGGACTGTTTATGCCCAGCTGATGGACCGCATGAGGAAAGCCAGTCATCAGTGCTTGCCATTTTTATTTGCTACTCCAGAAACTTCACACAAAGAAGTTCACCTTGTTCAAAGTTAATGCTGCATTTTAGATGCAGTGCTTTGTGGGGACCACTGTACTAACACAGAAGACAGAATTTTCTGGATATGGTGCTAAGAAATGGATCCTGTGGATGGAAGTCCTATGTATATGTGGTTCTTAATTAAAAAAAAATCCTCTACTTAAAATGTTTGAAAACCCCACCAAATTTTTATTATTCTATTTGCAAGGGTTACTCTTGAATTTTATTTTATTAGTATGATAATTTTTTCTTACCAGGCTTCAATGGTTGAATAGCATATGTATGTTTATATTAACAACATTTTCACTATTATAATTCAGAAAATAAGTTCAGATAAAATTATAAAAATTAAAATGACCCATGATTTCACCAAAAATTGTACACAAATTCTAATGAGGGAGAAATCATTGTTATCTATACTTTTATCTTTAGTCTGAGTTTCTTTTGCAATCCCTATAGGTCAGAAAGTACATGTATTTTGCTGTAACCTATCTCTGTATTTCTGTAGGAGAATACAGAACGTTCCTACCATCCTCCAAGACTTGTTTGAACTCCTAATCAATTAAGAACTCTTAAAGGTAACCATTATCCTTGCTTCTATAAAATTATACTAGTAACTATTTTAAAACTTCATATACATGGAAATCATACAATGTACATCTGAGCTGTTACAGAGAAGTTTTTTTTTTCCCCTCACTGCTGAGTAATGTCCCACTAATGTCCCACTACAGGTGACTACACTACAGTTCATGTTTTGGATACTGATGATCATTTGGAATCTTTTCAGCTTTGCCTGTTTTGAGCAATGCTATTATGACATTCTTATGTTCTTTTGTAAACATAAGTAAAAACTTATAGCCAGTAACTAGGCACCATA